CTTTACTGGAAGGCAGTTTGACATAACTTTTGCCTCAGTTTTGATTTAAAATGTAATTTGTTCTATTTTCACCTTTCCAATCTGAAAAATTCTCTGAAACCCCAAGAGATTATTTTATCGCATAAGATAATTTCAAATTGTAACATTTCCTAGTAGCTGAAAATTATCTTCTTTAAAAATATTTGCCTAGAATGTGGTATTGTGTAAAAGCAGAGCTTTGGGGCTTCATCTCACACGTCAAAGATATTTTTTCATGAGATTCTATCAACCAAAATAAGTGAATATATGTTATTTAAAACAAACTGAGTAGCTTTCACTGCATATTGGAGTTATTTTCACAATGCAGAACTCTGGGTGTTGAGGAATATATCTGGTCTAGGTGGCTCTGGTTTCAAGCTGCAGATTGAGATGTGGCTTGCAATGCTGATTGAGCTCTGGGTGGGGAGCCTGAGACTAGAGGCCGTGAACTGCCAATCTTTGAGGTAACAAAAGGGAATGGAGATGGGTGACACCTGCCTGCTGAATGGTCACTGGGAGATAGAGAAGGAGCTGGGAATTGCTGAGCTTTTGGATAAGGAGGGAGATGAAGATGGACAATGTGGATGGACACAGGAAGGGGGCAGGACCAGAAGACTCCGGAGGAAGAGGGAGACTTGCATGCATGTAGAGTGTGATGGTATCAAAGCCCAGGGCACCTTGGAGCAGGAGGCACCCAGCTCTGGCTGTTGCTGTGTTATTACACTGTGATTGAACTGCTTTATGGAACTTGACAATTGAGACTCTGCTAACAGAAACCTCAGGCTGAACTGGTAGGAAACCTGGTCATACTGGAGTTGAGTGGGGTGTGCAAGGAGTCAAGAAGGGCATCGGTCAGCTCACCGGAGCCACCCATGACTGGGAAGTTTCCTTTTAAAAAGGTTCCACTAGGAGAGAACGGACACATCTTCATTTCATTTTTACACTTGTTTGACAGAATCAGGGAGTTAAAGCAGTTGTCTGGAGTCTCATGAGGCTGGCACTGTAGCAGAAACAGCTCACATTTGGGTTGATTCACAAATGTCAACAAATGACAGCTGCTCAGCTGCAGGACCCATGTCCATGTTTTCCCTCGGCTTCTCTCCACAAAAATGTGCTTCATTCTGGTGGTGCCACATGGCAATATGCTGAAAGGTACTCAAAAGCTGTGAGAGGGTCACAATGCTAAAATAAAAAGAGCTGGAAAAGTGGAAGGTTTAATCCTTGCAAGTCCTTCATAAACAGTGTAATCCTCCTTGTAGTTCCATTTCCAGGAGCTTCATGGGGGTCATTGATGTTACAGCTGTACAGAGCACAAACTAGTCTTGTTTTATGTAGTGGGTATGGCCAAAAAACAAATGAGAACAATTATGAAGGGAAAGGAGTTGCTTTGTCACATTTACTAAATTTAGCCTTACTATACATGACTCTCGATGCAGACAAATCTAATTCTGAAAAGCTCCCTCATTAGCTGGCCCTAAAACATTTACAAAGCACTGAATAATTGATATAATTTATGGTTTTATTGGTGGGAACCATTAAATCCCCTCCTCCCAAACAGCATTAGGGAGGAAGCTCTACAACATGCAGTAAAAAATGGAGCAGCTATTTAAAGAAAGAAAACGGCAAGAAAATCTTACTGTGCTTTCTGAACATGATAACTCTGTCTGCCTCTGCCTCTGAATGAGGCAGAGTTTCCAAATATCCACTTCTAAAAGTATTGCAAAGTATGTGGAGCCAGTGTGCTGTCAGGATTACAGGCTTTTCAGGGGAAGTTTTACAACATCTACATTTGAAAAGAAATAATCACCACTAATTTTGGCTTTGTGCAACCTGATCTAGTGAGGAGGTGTTTCTGTCCATGGCAGGGAGAATTGGGACTAGATGATCTGTAAGGTCCATTCCAACCCTTAAAGTCTATGATTTTATGTTCTTTCATTTTAGACTTGGTAGCTTGATAATGTCAACTTTAAATTTGTAGTGTTAATACAGACCTGGCATTCTGTCCTGCAAGTGAAATTATGGGAAAGGTGGCAAATGCTCAGGTGTGATCACTTCTCTTATTCTGTTCTGTTCTGTTTAGGATTACATCACGATACCAGCGAACAGAGATGATTCACAGGCTTTTTCTTACTAAAATTGACATACATCAAGCAGACATAAATACCTGAAATAGCCATCCAAAACTCCAGTCTTGGTCAAAAATGAGAGACTGACATTTTTAGGGTACAGTTTTTTCGACTATAGTGTAGATATCTGCTTTTCACTTAGAAGATTTTTGTCCTAAAATTGCTTGTTTCTTTGCTGTAATTAGAACTAACAAAACCAAAATCAAGCCAAACAAACAACAACAATAAAAAACAAACCATAAAGACCAAAAAACATGTACATAATGTTTTAAGTTAGGAGAGAAGAAACTTCAAAAAAAGTTAGTCTGTACTGTCCTATGGAGCATGGAAGTAATAGTTAAGGAAGCTGGACATATGGCACTGTTGATGAGTCCTTACCAAAGCTGTGCCATAGTGTGGCAATGGCTAAACAACAGAACAAGCTATGTGTCTGCCAAGTATATAATGATTCTCCCATTCCAGCCCAGAAGACCAGAGTTAACACAATCCAGCTGGCTCAGCAACTGTGTGGATGCCATTTGTGGTAGCACTCTGCAAGTGACAGCAGAGCTAACTCAGGGCTTCCTTTATTATTTTGCCTTCTCTGCTTTAAGCCCACCAGGACAGGATTTGCACAGTCAGAAATGCTGATTCTTGTGACTTCAGCTCCCTGCATTGTGCTGTCTCTGGCAGCACAGTCCAGCTGTTTATGCATGTCTAATACATCTCCTAAGGGCATGTATAAAGGAAAACAAGCTGCCCCTTCAAGGAAGGTAACAAACAATCTAAACTCAGCTGCTTTTTACGCAAATTACAGTTACTTGATTCCTAATGTGCCTCAGCCTGTGGCACAGAGTGTCTGGGACATTGTTGAGTTTTCATTGGGTTTCACAGCTGCTCAGTAAAGATGTAAAATTTTTTATGTGTGGGAGAGAGAAATGCATACCTGCTGTGTATCTAATTGAAAGGCACAGATTCATAGTGTCACTTCAGCCTGCTACATTTCAGCCTATACTACTTGTATTTTGGGCATTACAGTGTGGAGCTGGACTATAGCCTCAGCTACTGAAAGGTACATTCCTGTGATGCAGACTGAATAACAGTGTTTGGCTCCTCTAAAATGTCCTTCTCAGTGTTCAGGATCTGGAGGATGGAGCTCTGTATCCTTTCTGTCATGCCTTAAATGCTAGTTCCTCTGCTCATATTGCCTGTTGAAGAACATAGTGCAGCATATTCCATTTGACATTAACAAAAGATGTTCTACAGGCTTTGAAAAACGATGCTATTCAAGCACATGACAAATGGGAGCAAACCCCACTGATACAGGTGTGCTTCCCTCCATCATGAACTGGTTGCCATGGTCATAAGAGCAAGGTCATTTTGAATAGTGTATGCAAAGGGTAGAGTTGGTGTTTTCTAAGGTGGAGATTTGGTCTCCTAAATACAAGTTTGTTAGATGCACATCACATCCTTTTCAGATCACTATATATTTTGACTGCATTGAAATGCTTGGTCTGCAGGGTATTATTCAAATGTTAAATACATTACACTATAATTTTTTAGGGTCTAGGTACAATCCATTTTGCTTATCTTGATTCAGTTGTATGGGGGTGCCATGGGTTTGTGCCAAACTGAAGTGACCTTGGGTATCTGAGACACCTCGAGAGGACTGGTTAGTATGAGATACTGAGGTTTTGTGCTCTACTGGATTAGCAAATGGATGCTAGGTAGTTAATGTGGCAGTTTGTGATGCTGTTATTTAGATGACTGAGTAAAGCCCCATGTGTCTATGTTTAGAGAAGGATTCTAAGCTCCTCTTTACAGATATGAAGAAGATGTAGACTTTATTTAGGTGTTATTCATCTCATCGTAGAGGAGACATGTAAAACCATTCAAGTGCATTGCATCCTAGAAATGCCCATTCTTCTTCATTCCTCGATTTATTTATAACAAAGTAGTTTAGGCAACTAGCTCACATGTACGCTGCAGACACTAAAAGTCAGATGATTTTTGATTTTAATTCTACCCTGGATGTAATATCTGATAAACAACAGAGACAACCTGCTGTTGCATAATCATAAGATCTCTGCTGAAAAACTGTAGGAATACAAAGAAAGACAGAGATCAAATGCATCTGTGGAGAGCAATGTACTTTTGATATGCATAGTGTGTAGCTCATTAATTGGCTACTATTTGGCCCAGTGTGGGTAATATGATAAAAATCTTGTGACATTGTGGTGCTGTAATATATCTGATTTTATTTTGGACCAGTAAATTTAAATCAGAATAGAAGAGAGGCAGCTGGTATTTGGTATTTTAGTAGATAATATCTGTGAAGATTTATTTTTCTTATAGAGTTGTTGGATAAAGGTCAAGCAACTAGGCTTGAATAATTAATAAGTAAAGTCATATCAACCCATAGAATAGTATACCCTGAGTTTACTCTGAGGTTTTGGATACCAAATAAAACTAATTAATTAATATGGTAGTTGATTTGTAAAAGATTAAAAAGGTGAAACGGATAAACTTTCTACAATTGTTTTCAACAGGTATTTTATCACACCCTGTACTCATATTCTTTCTTTCAAACTTTGATTGAGACTATAAGAACACCTGCATTTTGTCAGTCATTCTGATTCTTCTCCTAAAAACAGTAGCTCATAATTTGTGAATTCTTTCTGAACATGCATTTTCCTTAATAGTTGAATTATTTATTTGTTATGAGACAATAAATTAATAAATCACAATGCAGAAAAACCACCATCTCATTGAACAAATGGAACTCATGCTGTGCAGAAATGAGTATTTTTAGACATCAATATCTTCAGCTTATTAAGAAGTTCAAGGTATAACACACCATGTTCTATTTCTTTCTAGGTCTCCTATGTAAAAGCTATTGATATTTGGATGGCTGTGTGTCTTCTCTTTGTCTTTGCTGCTTTGCTGGAATATGCAGCAGTCAACTTTGTTTCACGGCAGCACAAAGAATTTCTGAGGCTTCGAAGAAGGCAAAGAAGACAAAACAAGGTACAGCTGCTCTTTACTTGGGGTGACTGAGTCTGCCCTGACAGTACACTGATGTGCAATTGATTTCTCACCTCAGTTCTTCTTGCCCTTGCAGGAGACTATCATTCTGAAGTTTCCTTTTGTGAGATTTACTCCTCGATAAAGAGCTGATTACTGACTGCTGAGTTTATTTACAGTTTATGAAGTTATTGATAAATGTCAGTATATTGATCACTGGTTGCAAGAATTTTCTTCTCTTCTTGCAATGGCTGAGGCAGCTGGACCTTTACAATTACTGTGCTACTATGTGGCACCCACCAATGGATAAGGAAATGTTGGAAGCAATAACATAGATAAGGGAACAATATTATCCAGATGTGCTGACATCATAACATGCCTGAGACATGTCTACCCGAGCTAGTTATCCTAAAATGTGAGATTTCTTAGGGTAACCCATTGCAGAGATTGGCAGTTCTGCCCTCAGTTCAAATCACCAGCAACTGGTGTCTTTCCCAGCTGAAATCAGGAAACGTGGTCATTTAAAAAAATGCAAAGGATTAGGAGAATTTCCTCTCTAGATTCTACCATTCCTCAGTTTTCTACTGATATAAACTTGCAATTTTTAACAAAAGATTGACTGTCATTATCACATCATCTTATGCCAATGACTAAAATGTAGAAGAGAGGATGGGTTTTGACCTAGATGTCAGTTTAGAAATAATTTTAGCCAGTCTGTCCATCTTTCCTGTGTTTTTTTCTTCAATAAATGGAAAGACAAGGGTAGATATTAAATTGAATTTTAGTCCAGTTATGATCATTCCCACATCTAGGGAATGTGGGAACTATAAAGGTTTCATACTTCCTGTATTTGTGTCACTGGTTCTCAGTATCAGCAGAAACATTTAGGTTTATGCTGTACATATGCATTTTCTAGGTGCTGTAAATATTGGCTTGAGCTGCACGAGTGCTTCAAGCCACAAATAATGGTTTCCTTTACAAGTGGAATGACAACAAAGGCACAGGGCACTTTTGTTTTGACAGGTCTGTCTAATAAATGTTCTGTAGCTAATGTAATATTTGATGGATGCTCTGGGAAACAATCCAGTGCTGTTCTCCAGTTTAATATTATTGTCAGGTGAATTGAGATTCCCATGAAGATTAGATTACAGCAGAAAGCAGAGATGCTTGCATGTCTGCAGACACAAAGACCAGATGCACTGCCAATACCAGCACACAGCAGCAGAAGCTGTGTATGAGGTCTATAATTTCAGTTTTGGATGCAAAGATTTTTTAGAGTTGAACAGATAGGCAAGAAGTCAGCATTGGTAAGTAGCAGTGGCATTACTCAAAATAATGATGTTTTGGTCCATGGAAATGGTCATTCATCTGCTGTGGAAATTATTCTTCTGGTGAATATTGAAAGAAAGTTATTTAAAACCAAATCATCAGAAGGTTTATGCTTGTCCTGATCTGGTTGATACATGGATTCTTTGCAAAACGGGTAATGCCTGAATTAAATGCAAGGAAATATTCCAGTGAGTAAAAGACACCTATCTGTTGTTTTCACTTTTCCTGTGAATCTCATTGCATGAATTTTGAAATAGGTAACAACGTGACTAAGGCTGTCTCTTTAGGAGGTGTTTTCTTCATCTCTATACTTCAGTTTGTCTCTCATGATTTTCTCAGTTTATTTTGCTTTGAAAGTGATTCACATTGTTTTGCATGATGGTCTTCTCTAACCAAGCCATTCTTCTCTTTGCGTGTTGTGTATGTGTATCGTTGTGTTACTGCTGTGGTATTCTCATTCTTGCTGCTGCTATCTATGCTGACACTCTGGGGACAGGCACAGACTGTGACTGTTGGGAATGAGAGCGTTGAGTCCATGCGGCGCATGAATGGCTTGAGGAGCAAAGAGTCATCAGCTTACGGGACAGTGAATCAGATCGGCAATTCAAGTTTGAGGGTAAAACTGTAGTGAGAAAGAGAAAGCAAGAGAGTTTTAGTACATGCAATGATGTCATAAATCAGCAAAATTGACAATTTTGATGGCATCACTAGTAGTCTCTTGCATTCTCTTTGCTAATTGTCCCCACAAAATTTACAATACTGTCCACAGCATGAACAGCAGGTTCATGTTGTACATTCCTGTACAAGGCCCATTTTTATGCTTGCCTTTTACCACGGTTGGCTTGTGCCACCCCAATTCAAACCTCCCAGGGGAAATGCATGTATATTCAGTAATTTGGTTCTATAAAAATACAGAGCAAATGGGATGGGGGACAGGACCATAGGAAATGCCTTCAGACAGTAAATCCCACAGTGTCATCTTTCTGATGAGCACATTCCAACAAAGTTTGGTATGTATAACAATATGTATTTTTATTGGTGTGGTATTTATTCCTGAACCACTGACCTGCAGTGTTCCTCACTGTGGTGTCCTGAACCCTGCTTAGTGGAGTATGAATGGCTATGAATGAAAAAATATTTCATTGGTTTCTTTTTATTTGCTTGGAGAAGAGCCATGAGGCTGAAATCTTTTACACAGTGTAACATGTAGCAGATCAAAAGCAATATGATACTAGCTGATAGATCCAGTTTACGGGTGAGTTGTGGAGGTAATAAAATCAGTGATGGAGAGAGAAATGAGTTTAGTGTATAGCTCAATGCTTGCAACTAGTGGCTGAGAAATGAAATGTGTTCATTTAAATAAAATGGGACTGGGATTTTAATCTTTTAGGACCTGTTTTCCCAGAACAAAAACATTGCCTGAGCCACTTTTGAGATGTAATGGGTCTCTGACTTTGATCAAGCTCTGTAAAGCGATGTGATTATAAGATGCAGATTATTTCAGTGGATTTTGTACACTGTAAAGGGAATCAGTAGCTTCCAAAATCAAAGCTAAAACCACAGTTCACATTACACAGCAAAATTAAGACAGAGGCTTTGCAATGCAATAAATCGTTCACTTTCAGAGGTACAATATCAAGAGTAGAAGAGAGCCCTCATTTCTGGATACTTTTTGTTGTAGAAATAATCATATTTACACATACACAAAAACTGTATATGAAAAGAAAAGATCAGGGTCTCTCTAGAAGATATGACCAGTATTGCTGTGCTGCTACTGGAAAGCTGATGCCATACATATATAAAAGCAGTTCAAATAAGTACTTAGTGCTGCATGTCTTATCAGCCACAAAGTGCTGGTAGTCCAGCTAAAGTTCACGTAAGTCCCAGTTATCCTCTCTCTAAGAGGAGCTTGCAGAAACCTCTCTTCTGCTTCTGAATATTGTGTATTACATAGACAGCCAGGGCAGTGCACAGAGGGGCCGTGTCACTGCAGTGCTTTTGCTGCAGAACCCTAAGAGCTGGAGCTGCACTGGCATTGGTTTCCCCTGGAGAGCTCCCATCACAGAAGTGATGCGCACTTGAGAGGTCAACAGAGGAGACATACCACGGCAGAGGTTTATGGAGCAGTACAACCATGGCTGCAGCTTGATACTTTTCTGCTGAAGAGAAAGATGTTTATGTGCAGGAGAGAACGTAGCAACATAGCCCCTGGTGCCACAAGAAGCCTCACAAGCAGGGACATGACTTGCAGAGGTACTGCTCACTGAACCAAGGACTTATGTTGAATGCAAATCGAAAACTCATAGTCAAGAAGAGACTGTATAAAAGTGTGTTTGAATGTCTATACTGCATCACTTAGTGCTGATTGAGGGAGGCAAAAAAAGGTGTTAAATCACACCTGACCAGGATTCCTGGATTTAGCAGTTTGATCTACAAAACAAGAAAAATACTGTTCTCAGTTTTATAAGCCTGTATGTCTGGCACTAATTTCATTTTTGCTTCTGATGGGTCTTGTTCTTCTTAGTGCTGCAACCCTCAAAGCACTGCATGAAAGCAGAGGACACCCTAAGAGACCACCAGATCTCTAAAGTCAAAGATCACACTGGTTAGTGTTTTTGTAGGAAAAATCTGGGTTGTATTGTTGATAGTCTAGAAATTGTATTTACATATGAACCATTGACCTGTCATTCCATTAGAAAAGATTGCACTATCAGGACCTGTCGCCATCTTCCATACAGACTAAATCCCTATATCCTCACATTGTTAGTGCTTTGACCTGTCTGTCTTCCCCATGCAGTTTCTCTTGGTGGAAACATTCAAAGCTTGTCCTAAAGATTTGTGGAGAATTTTTGCTCAAGTTAAGAACACTCTTCAGTAGGAATACTTCACTGCTGAGAGAAATGGTTGCCTATTTCTTGTATAACATGATACATAGAGAAAGTGCAGGCTGCAGAAGCCATGAGTCTAATGATATTGAGGATGTAGTGCAGTTTCATGACATTGAAATCTAAATTTTCATGGTGACAGATCACTTGAAAGGAAATAACTTCTTTTTCAAATATGATTTTTAACAACCAAACAAGATTTGCTTATTTTTCAAAATGATGGGTTTCCAGGGAAGCAGAACTGTTTACACAGGATCAATCATCCCTTTTTGAAAACTATAATTATGTTTTATTATCAGCAGTCAAAATGAGTCACAGTACACTAGTATTCATACCATCATCTCAAAGATGACTTCCTAAATTATATGAGTGATGGTTACCACTGTAACCAAAAATAGGGGTTAAGTTTGGGACTGTTAGTGTTAAAAGCAGTGCTTTATAGCTTGAAAAAAAACCTGTGCAGCTGGAAGCTGTGACAGACTTTAATCCCATGTGCAAGGAACACAGAGCAATACAAATAACAATGCTGCAGCCAAGGGGGTTCACATGCATGCAGATTAGCAAAGGGAGGCACAAATGGTGTTTTCAAATGAAAGAGCTGGGACTGGGACTAAGTGATTACAGAAGCAAAGGAGAACTCCAGCAAACAAAGATGGCAGCATCTGTTCGAGTGTTTCAGAGAATTGTTGGTCTTTGGATGGAGCTGCCACTGATAAGGCAGGTACCTCAAGTGCCCAAAAAAAGTTACTGAGGCTCTCAAGATATTACATTATTTCCATCTTTAAAAAG